GGAATGCCTTGACGGAATTTCTTCAAATTTGGCACAGATGTCCACTTGAATTCAAGGGTGAACTGATTAGATTTGGGCAGTAAAGGTTAAAGGTCACTGTCACCTCACGTTCATCCTATTCCTGTAAATTTAACTGGTTGGCGGTGGCATAAAACCGTGACGTGGCAGTTCTACTTTAGTGGAAGTAACACAGCAATGTAATGAAAGCTGAGCATAAGTGGACCTCTGGACACCTGGGAGACACATGTATATAGAGAGGTGTGTCTTGGCTGCCCACTTGTGTTCAGATCATTGAGAAGCATTTTATAACTAAGTCGAAATGCGACCACAGCGTATGACGGGTGACAAAGTCCAATCACCTAAGCAAAGTTTAATAAGTTATTTAGTTTGCACCTGAGAGCAGCATGTGACATGTGCTTGATTTATATTTTTTTTCTAATTTGATATGTGGTTTTGCACCAAATATTGCAGGGCAGAAGGGGGGGGGGAGAGAGAAACAGCCTTGTGGCCTCGTACGCTGTCACATGATGCTTTTTAAACTGTTCACGTTTATCAACTTGGCAGGTTCAGGATGCTGTATGAGAAAGATGTCACTAATGTGCCCTCCATAGTTTTTCCTCTTGCACCGCTTATTTATTGTATCTTGCACACTGCAGCTTTAAATACACCAGTGATGTGCACAGCCAGTAGACAGAGTAAAGATGACATCTGTTGTGCTGTAAAATTTGTTGTGCCACACACTCCTTTGTGTTCACTGGTTTGGTCCATGGTGAGGATAAAATGCAGGCGCATAAGATGGATAAGGCTGCCATTTCACCTCGTAGATCTCGGCTTGTGCACGTAATCTCTTTCAGATGAGTGATGCACACATTAGCCTTGTCTGTTCACTTTTTGAATTCAAAGCCAGTGTTTCTGCACTGTCATCGTGAGAAGCCAGAAATGGTTTTTTTTGTCCAGGGGCGTCTCTTGCTCCTGCTCTCTCTATGGTTGTATTTTCCACCAACATGAGGCCGCACCACCTCCCCAGCATGCTGTCACATCTGTTCAGCATTAGCCCCATGACTTGCATTTGTGTTACTGCCTGCATTCCCCAGTGCCCATGTGCTCTTGTACCTTCATATAGCAGTACTGTATAGTGTGATCCTGTAAAATCAGGAATTGTTTTCATAGCAGTGCAGCATGAAAAACATCAGTTTTGTTGGATGTTACCATATTAAGGTAGTTTGCCTAAAATTGTCCTTTGTCTTGCATCAATTTGGGGGAACAGGATCAACAAATTTATCAGAAAGGCAGGCTCTATTATTGGACTGACTCCTGGAGAGACTATTTGAGAAAAGAACTAGAAAGAGAATACAGACCATAATCCAGTTTGAGAATCATCCTTTGTTTAGTGTTTTTAATGATCTAAGAAGATGCCAAGATGCTCCACGGAACACGTTAGAGCTTCATTTGTACCTACAGCTGTGAAATTTCTGAACATGTGATTGACTTGTATCATAATCAGATGGATTGTAAGGTGCAACTAGACCAGTTTCTGATTTGATCTCCACTATGTCCTTGGATTTGTTGAATCATTGAGTGTTTTTTGCAGTTTATGTTCTGGTCTGTGTAAATGGTGACCAAATAAGTTTTCCCCCTTTGGGATTAATAAAGTTTGTGTCTAATCATAGGAAGGTGGCTGTTTTGTAATATGCATGTGGTGGATGTTCCCATAACCACTGCTGGATTATTCTGATACTGAGGAAATGTTCTGCATTTATAAGTAGTGCATTTTTTTTTTCAATTTCGCAGGAGCTTTATGCACATTTATTTACAATGGACATATGAGATAATGATATCCTCAATGTGTTGCATTAAGTCACGTACATTCCGGAAACGTGTCATGTTTGTGCATTGCAATAAGAGTTATGTAGGTGCATGTGTTGATTTTATTTATTTGCCTTCATGAGCTGTGTGTTCCACCTCCTGCTGCAGCTCCAACTGAGTTCATAACAGTTGTTAGAACACTGGCATGCACCGGCCCCTCACTTCATGCATGTTTTTGCTTCACGTCTCCCTACACACACACACACACACACACACACACACACACACACACACTCCTTTAACCCCTTTCATTTCCTTCTGTGAAGGCAGGCCTCACAGTTTCAGGATTGAATAATGGCTGACTTAATTTTAGAACTGGAAAAAAATAAAACCTACAATACATTCAGCAGATAGGTCAGGATGTTTTGGTTTTTTTTTTTTTTTTTTTGTGAATTGCACAGAGACTGTGTTGTTGTTGTTGTTAGCATGCTTGTGGTAAATGCGATATGAAATACCATGTTGATTTGTTAAGTGATACTGGAATATGAAAATAAAACAAAGGTGATGTGAATAACGTCATTGTTTTCGACTCCACACAAACCCTCTTTTCTCTGCGTGTTTGATGCGCTGCACTCTGCTAGCGCTCCTGCCTCTGCTCTGTACTTACCCTGATGATCATTTGGCAGGGTTACCTTGGATACACCCATGAACAGGAAGTTCATGCCTGATGCAGATTTCGGTTCTTGGACGCCGCTGGAGTACATCGCAGAGTGAGTGCCGAAGCGGATCATTCTTATTGTGTGGCTGTAGTGAGCACTGTGACAATGACCCTTTTTTAATGACTGAAAAGGATGTTTTCATCACTAAAATGATTTTAGTGTTGAAAACATCCTTTTCATGATCCCCCTCCCCCCAGTCTCACTGTTTGAAGTGTCTTTTACAAACCTTTTCTTTATTGACCAAATGAAAATTAATGATGTCTGAAATGGGAGTATACAAGGACTTTGTCTAATATATATAAAAAAGTCTAAAATTGGCAAAATTGTGAAGAACACTCTACTTAAATTTCAAACTAGTAAGCAGACAAGACCATAAATTGGACCACACACTCGGTGCCAACGTTTGGTACTTGATGCTACAGGCACACTTCAGTCAGTGCCAAATGGCACAGAGAGTTTTTACACAGTTCTAGTACCAGTACAGGTAAATGATAGTTATTTTTATACAAGGACCACAAAAATACCATTTCTGACTGGGTGGCAGGTTCAAGTCAAATTTTGTTTTGCCCAATATCAGAAACCAAAAATTTGCCTCAAGGGGCTTTGCAATCTCAGAAGTTGAGAATACACCTCAGACACTGTAGTTGCCATCAGTAGTGTGAAAATAGTGTTCTGGACATGTACACTAGATTCTCCTAACAATCCCACAATGCAATGCAATGCACTGCATTTTATTATATGAATCATA